GGTGCGTCGGTGCGCGCCCGGGATCCGAACCTGGGCCGCCAGTAGCGGAGCGCACACACTTAACCGCTAAGCCACGGGGCCGGCCCCGCTTTATATGGGACGCCACCACAGCATGGCTTGACAGGCGGTATGTCGGTGCGCGCCCAGGATCTGAGCCTGCGAACCCCCCGGGCCTCCCCAGCGGAGCGCGAGAACTTAACCGCTACACCACCAGGCTGGCCCCCAGTGCTCTTTTTTTTACGATAAAGAAAAATGGTGGTTTTTATATCTTTTAGAGTTAGGAGTGCAAATTTGAATACAGTTAGCTAAGATGACTAATGAGCTGAAAAGTCTTTATAATTCAAAAGCAGACATAACAGACATAGGAAATATTTGAAGTCTAGGAGGACAAAATGGGGATTTTCATAAACAATTTTATAAGGACACTCACATGGCTACCCATTACGAGACAGGAATTGACTTCAGTGCTTCCGGCATCTCACCTCACGTGAACCGTATTTCAGGTGGCTTTGTTGTTTGGCTTCGTCTCCTGTTCACCTGCATTTGGCCTGCCCTTCTCTTGTCTATAATTAGGCGGTCTACTAGATCCCCTTCTAGGTTATAGATAAGGTTCTATTTGTAAAACCGAATCAGAAAACCCAGAGTTAAAAAAAAGTCTCAGACCTAATAAAAATATAGGAATTGATAGATTTTAAAGAAAAGAATGTGAGGCCTAAAATATTTTATATCTATAAGGCTTTGCATCCATTATAAATTCTTTCAACCCTCATGGCATTGGTAAGTACTAGTAACTTCATTTTTCAGATGAGGACATTGAAGTTCAGGAGCTGGATTAGTTTCCCAATCTTGATATGACTAATAAGTAGAGAACTACTCATTAACTACTTGTTAACAATTAACTTGTTATTTGACCCCAGTCCAACTGACTCAGTGACCTGGCACTTATCCAAGGCACAGTCCTACTCACAGACCAGTGCAAAATAGCTACCTCTGTGATCCTGTGGAACACCTTACACTTCATGCTATAAAAACCATCACATTTGACATATTTGCCACTAAAATGAGCTTCTCAAGGACAGAAATCATGCTTATTCATTTTTGATGTATTTCTAATGTACAGCACAGTGCCTGGAACAAGATGCTGAATGAACTGAAAAAATTACTAAGAACAGAGAAAACGGGTACCCAGAATGGGTGTCTGGTCTGTGTTTGGGACATGATGGTTCTATAGTTGCTACTGAACAAAATGAAAATCTTTCATTGACCAGATCACACCTCCAATATGACCATATATGAATTCAAATTTTAGTATCTCAGCGATGTGTAGAACATCAGTGAATTAATGAGAACACTGATTGGAAGATGACACAAAAGCAATTGTTTATAATTGACTCCTGCTGGGAGACTCTAATATAAATAGACTCTTGACTACGTGAAAATAGAAGTAGGAAGCGTGTAGTAGGAGGGCAGGTGTGTACCTTCCCGTCAAGCCCTAACTCATGCCCCATGGCTAGGAACCTCATCATCAGTTAAACTTCCCACTGATTTGAAAGGAATCCAAATGTATTGGGCAAGATGATGAGGTGATAGTATAAGAAGTTCAGTGGAAGGGTAAAAGGTCTAAGAAGGAATGAAAAAGGCATAAGTGGAATCAGGGAGCCTGAAGGTCTTCAGAAATGCAAGTTGTCTGTCTTCATTACAATTTTAGGCCTTGATTCTCCCAGAAAGAGAAGACCAAAGTGATCAAGGAAATCAGAATTATATCCAGAGACTTTTATAACCTCCCGTAGCGAATGCCTCTTGTTTCTCTCTGCCACACCTCCTGTTTCCTCTCTTTATTAATGGCAACTCGTGTAGTTTGGGTTGGGGATCAGCCCTTTTAGCTCCACAATGTGTGGTGTATGCCCAGGCCTGGCCAGTCACAGACTAGACCCTCGGGGCCAGAGAAGTATGCAGGGCAGAGCACATGTTTGAAGACAAGCAGATGAGAATGCTCCCTAGGACTTTTGATAGAACAATGGGAAAAGAAGCACTTTCTTCTGTGATCAGAGGCACAAGGACCGTGTAAGTCCAGAGCCCCCCAGGAGCCGTCTTCACTGCAAATTGAAAAGAGCATTTCCAAGGATGAGGACAAAGGAGAGCTGAGCCAGAGAACTCTGAAGACATCATTTAAACACCTGGGTCCTGCACTTCCTCATTTTGGTTACTCTTATCTGATTCCACATAGTGAGTAGCACGAAACCTCTAAATGCAAAGGCCCCGTGTGCTTCCTTCCTTCAGGGGAAACTTTCAAGGTTATTACGCCCAAGACTTCTGCCAGTCTTGGGTATAAACCTCAAAAAAAGAGTGGGCAGCAGTAGTTCCATGGAAGACAACAGATGGCTTTTGTCATGTGGAAGAAAAGAGAGGCGGGAAGCCACAGTGGGCTTAAAGAAAGCCTGCCTGAAATTTAGAAATATCGAAGCCCTGTGGAGTATCCTTATGAAACCTCTGTTTATTAAAAAACAAGTGCATATTCCAAGTTATTTTAAACTTTATTGTGAAGATGTTTCTGAAACACAGACATGTGTAAAGGATTACATGCCAATCACCTAGGTGCTCACTGCCCAGTTTATGCAATAAAATGTTACGAATGGAGCCGTATCTCTTGCATTCCCCTAGGATCACATTCTCCTCCTTTCCCTGTTTTTTTCCTCAGAGAAAATCACTATCCTAAGACTTTTCTAGGTCCTTCCCATGACTTCTTGGTGGTTTATTACATATGTACATATCCCTACTTAGTACTATTTTGTATCTTTTTGAACTGTGTATAGACAGTATCAAATTATACATTTCATTCTGCATATTTCTTATTTTTATATGAGAAATTGTGACATTAATCCATGTAAATAAGCATTGCTCTATTTCTTGCATTTTCACTGCTGTGTGGTGTAGTTATATGAATGTGCCAGTTATGAAACTATTGTCTCTCAGCTCCAAACCCTTCTGTAGTCGTCTTTGTGATGCTGAGGCTGGCACTAGGCAAACGTAGTTCTCCTTTGCCATCTGGCTCCCTGTTATGTTCTGCCAATAGGGGGCGCTAGAGGGACACCGAAGATTGAAAGAGAGAAGGGACTTTCTGTTGCTCGCCTATCAGTGTGGTCCCATCCACAGCTGCAGTACCTGGCAGCAGTAGTTTGTTCCAGTAGTGGTTGGTTCTAGTTTTTGATTTTTTTTCTATACTCTGAGAACCAGTGTCATTGCCTTCCTTCAAATGCACCAGCCAGCGTCTCCTCAAGAGATTTGAGTCCCAGCTATGCGGGCGCCCTCTTCTGAGGATCTGGCTCATAGGCACCAGCTGGAGAGCACCCCCCCCCTCAGAGGTCTGAGCCTCAGCTCCACAGGGTCCTCTGGAAAGCTTCTAGCTCCTAACGCTCTCCTCCTCCCTTTGTTCACAAGCACTAGGGGCAGGAGCTGCTTCTCTGCAGTTGCTGTCTCTGTGTTACCCCACTGTTTCTTTTTGTCTTTCATTCATCAGATGCCCATTTAACCAAATCCTTATGTTAAATTCTCCTAAAATGACTGGTGTGGATTCTGTTTTCCTCATTGCATCTTGCTTAATACAACAGATAAAACAATATTCATGTGTCCATTTTCCTATTGATGAATGTGCTGAGCTTGGCCAAACCTGCTGCTCTGACATCTCGGGTAAGCTTGATGATGCGGTAACAAACAAAATGTGGAAGCATTCAGCGTGGTGCAGTGGTGGTCCAGGCATGTTGTTATGGCCTCTCACCCAGCCATCAGCACCAAAGCCGCAAGCCCGTTATCTGTCTTCCTCTGATCTGCCATGTTCTTCACTCCATCAGGGCTGCTGAAACCATGAACTTCAGACACCTGTGTGAGAACACAGGCTTTGTGGCTACTTGCATCCTTGATCTTGAACTCATACTTCGTGGTGCTCATGCGATTTCTCAATAACAAGCTGAACCAAGAAGTAACATTAGCTGACCCGAGTCATCATTTGCCACAGTATTTGTCCCTGGACCTCTTTTTGTGGTTTAGCCCAGCTCAATGGATACTGAGGTTTTCTACTTTTTGGTTATCTATTTATAATAAATTACGGTTACTGTTACTTCTTCTTATAGATAAATCTTCTCTGAACATTCTTGGACATGTCTCCTTATGCAAATTAAGAAGTCAGATGACTTTTTGGATGCCCATCATAGGTCAGGAAGTTCCTGTGCTGGATGCTGAAGATGAATTAAAATAAAAGTTCTGTTTCTTAAGGATCTCAGTCTGGAAGAGGAGAGAAAGTATCACCATCATCATCATCACTCATCATCATAGTAATCAATCACAGAGCACTTAGAACCTGCCTCACACTGTGTTATGCATTTTCAAGCATCTCATTTAATATATATAATAAAAGTCACAGAATATGATAAAGTTTCACTCAATATAAGGACCAGGAATAGATGAATTTTATCTTGGAAGACGAGAAGGAGTCAGAGACCAGCTGGGTAAGTTAATCAGGGCGTTCTAGTTAGAGTTAGCCGTGCAGACAAAGACAAGGAGGAGAAGTGTGCTGCAAGCAGAGTCCAATCAACCGGGGCAGGGAGAGGATGAAAGGAGGGAGGGTAAGGAGAGACAGTGAAAAAAATGAGGCAGGAGAGATAGGCAAGGGCCAGGTCACCGCAGCACAAGTGAAGTCTGGACTTCATCCTGAAGCTAAGAGAAAGACTCATGGAGGATTTCAGAGTCGAGGATCATGACGGAACGAAGAGTTAAAAAAAAAATAGGACATCATTGAAAGATTCTGAGCAGAGGAGAGACACAATTAGTTTCACACTTTAATAGGATCACTCTGACTGCTGGTGTGCAAAAGTAGAAGTAGTGGTGCAGAAACCAGGCAGGAGGGTATTGGAATAATCCAGGCCAGAGCTGTGAGTGGTTTGGACCTGAGTTGCAGTAGCAAAAGACCACCTGATTGAACAGGTGTAGAGTGAGAGAGGAAGGCAGAAGTAAGGGTAACTCCAAGAGTTTTGGCTTGAACAACTGGAAGATTAAAGAAGCCATTAACTGAGATCTGAAAGACTGCAGTGGTGTCGGGAGGGGAAGGGAAAAAAAGGGTTTATTTTTGTTTATGTTGATTTGATATACCTTTACATATCCAAGTGGAGATTTTACTAGACTCTTGTTGGGCACAGGAGTCTGGAGTTCAGGGGAGAGATCTGAGCTGAAGATATATATCTGTGAGTCATGAAACCACCTACGGAGTGAGTGTAGGTAGGAACAAATTTCCAAGGATTGGGCTCCGGGGCACATCAGTGTTAAGAGGTCAGGGATGATGAGAAGGAACCAGAAAAAAAAAAAGAAAGTCCACCAAAAAAACACCAGAGTAAACAAATACAAAATCCAAGAAGGAGGAAGGAGGAAAACCAAGAGATTGTGGGGGAAGAAATTGCATCAAGAATGAGGTAGTGCAGCTGTGTCAAATGCTGCCAACATGTCAAGTGAAGTGGGACTGAGAATTGACCAATGGATTTAGCAATGTGGAGATCAATGGTGACCTTGAGAATGTGATGAAATCGTGGGGGCAAAATCCTAATGGGAGGAAGGGAATTAAGACAGAGAGTATACATAATCCTGCAAAGGACTTTTGTCGTGAAATGGAGCAGAGAAATGGGGCAGGAACTAGAAGGGGATGTCAGATCAAGAAAGCTTTTTTTTTTTTTTTAAGATCAAAGACATAACAAGATATTTGTATGCTGATGGTAATAACACAATAGACAAAGAAAAACTGATGATAAGGAGCAAGAGAGAAGAATTTCTAGAGCAATATCTTTGGGATCCAGTAAACAAGGATAGGGGATGGACTTAGAGAGGGGCATGAGCAGTCATTTATAGTGAGAGGAGGGGAGATAGTAGGTACAATGCTGGCAGGTGGGTTGATACTTGTAGAAGTCTCTATTTAGTTGGCAAAACAGAAGTGCAGTACACGAGAGAAGTTTGAGCTGAAGATAGAGACGCAGTTATCAGTTCATAGAGGGTAGTTGAAGGCATGAGGTAGAAAGGATTTGCTGTGGGGAAGAGATGGTAGAATAAGGATTGAAAACCAACGAGCAACGACATGGCTGCTGACCTTAAGTGCACTGAGTTCAGAGAAGAGAACAGCAACGGGGACTGGAGAGGTGAGGGACTTGAGTCGAGGGGCAGGATTTAGTGGGGAATCATTCCAGGACCAGAGCAGCAACGAGATGTTAAAATATTGTAAGAAGAGTGGTCTTAGCTAGAAACGGGAAAAACAGTGGGCCCAAGGGGGAGAAGGTTCTGATTGTCTGCCTTGAATTGATGTACACATGGGAAGCACTTCAGTTAATAAGAACAATGGTTAAGGGGACTGACATGGCTTGCAGTGTTGATTGAGGGTTACGGTGGGAGGAGTGGGATCAGAGAGGCTGATGGAGAGTCTGTAAGAGTAATTCTTGGTCACAGAGTCAGGACTCGATAATGGGAATAGAGAGGAGGTTTTACAATGGATATTGGAAATAAGACAAACTCTTAGAGATTTTATTCTAGGGGCCTTTCTCTGCTTTAAAGTATAGGCCTTACTTATTTAAAATCAGAATTATATTTATTTTAATATAAAACTTTAATATAAAACTGATCCCACAATAATTTCAAACTGTCATTCAAGTTATGTACAGACACCTTGTTTAAATCTTGCATCCACAATCCCTTTTAGGGAATAGAGACACAGAGGAGGCAAAGGCACTGCTAACCGTATATGGTAATGAAATATTTGATCCAAGTTTCTTTTGATTTCGACATAATAAAAGGTTGGTACATTTCCTGGAATCAGGAACTGAGAGAGTGAAGGGGAATTCCCTTTTGATTCTTTTCACAAAGTCAGGTGAACCAAGACAAGAGCTGGAATTTCAACTGGAAATATGGAAAGTTTCCTTCTCCTTACAAAGCAATTCATCCGACTTACACAGTGTCCATCTCATCATCAGATATTTTTTCTGAAATGAATTTGCAGCTGATGGATATCATTTCAGGGCATAAGGACACATGGAAACTCACTGGGGGTCTGAGAGAAGGAAGGCATATTTGAATAATGGAAAAAGTTTATTGGAATCAAAGCTTTTGAATTACAGAACCAAACCAAACAACAAAATAAAGGTCACAAATCTCCAAAACCTACCAGTTTCCCTACAGCAGATAAGGACTAGAAAGAATCCCAAGAGAGGACTGGCAGTATTAATAACTCTAGACTCAAAGATTTAAACCTTAAAAGAAACTCTTTCCATTTTAAATGAACTCACAGTCAAACAAGGGGGATCATTTCCAAAACTAGGCCAGGAAATTGAGTTTAATGAATCAGAAAACATTTACAGAGCTTATCGTGGTACACATTCCACAGGAGCAGCAGAGCATCATAATGTGTCCCCTGTCCTTAAGGAATTTGTAAGAATGATGTGTCTGAAAAATGTAGGAATTAAGAGAGAATTTAGAACTCTCTTTGAATTATCTAATAGCCTGGAAGCAGGAAGCAGGGTTGGCGTTATTGTTTTAAACTGTAGAAGATACACAAAGCAAATTGCATCTCAATTCAAGAAAAAATCTTCTAAAAATTTGCAACATTCACACACGGAACAGACTGGAGTTTAGGTAGCAGACTCCTTCATTCAGCGTTTGCTCATGTGTTGGGCTCCTACAGCTGAGTGAGGAGGTTCCCCAGCAAGCAAAATACTTCTTTATCCTCCAGGGGTCGCACCCCGGGATGCACCATCCCTAGATGATTATTTGACATGGATGCTCTGGAAAGATTCATCAAGATTCCTCTGAATCTACTTAAGAAGATAAGATATACATATACAAAACTAAATATCAGTACAGTATAATATTTGAATTAAAGATCAATTATTTATTTAAATTAAGGATCAACAGCAAGCAGCGAGAGACATTCACCAGGACAAGAAAAATGTGCTATGAGAGCTCAAAAATATCGCTCAAGATGGGTAGATTTGAGAGAACTCTACAAGGAGCTGGAACTTAGACAGATGGAATGCAAGGGCTTTTCAGGGAGAAATGGGCATATAATCATCTAGATAGAGCAGTGCATGGAGCGTTCAGAGGACAGGGAGTGATTCTACATCACTGAATAAAGAGTTCATCCAGGCAAATGGTAGAAATAACTCCAGATTAATATGTTTGCAGGTTGTAGAAGATTGATAGACATCTTTTATATTGCCTCATCCTAACCTCTATTATCCATGGCTTTGGAGAAAGAGTTATAAATTTTCTAGTAACATGAGAGTTAGTCTGTAACTATTAAAATAAAAAGTATTTATCTTGCAAAATCAACATGCTTACCCCTCGTGGAGCATGGACCACATCTGAGGAACTAGTGTTTTAAATAATAGAAAGCCACAGCCTCCTCTGGAGTCCAGGTGACATAACAGGAACTGTACTTCAGAGAAAATTCGTCTGGTGGCTGTGTGTGGAATGAACGACTTTGGCCATTGTGGGAGGTAGAAGATAAGTTAAAAAGCAGACATCTGGTTTAGCATAATGCATTAGAATAGAAAGAGATGTTTAAAAGAAACTTCATGATGAACTGGATGTGGGAGCAAACAGAGAGGAAAATGTCAGAGACACAGGTTAAATAAATAACAACTGTATCTTAAAAATGTTCAGCTCTTTAGAGGCACAAGGAAACAATCTCCTGCAAATTAAATTTTGGATGATATACCAGTACCAGTGTTTAGGGAAGAGGTCTTCACTTGAAAAATGAGCAGATTCTATATGAATGAAGAAATTGTATGACCCTGAAGTCTGGCACCATGGTAGCCATCATTGATCATATTATAATCTATCTATGTTTTACAAAGTGTTCAGATTAAGTTGCAGTATTGCAGACTATTAGGCAGTCTTTCCAAGAGAAACTGGCAACTGTGGTTTCTGCTGATACCCTCTTATAAAGCAAAAATTGAGGGCCATGGTCATGAGCAAGTGGGCCCCATCACCAGCATGTATCTATGTGTTTTCCCTTGTCATTTTGTAGGCTTGGTTAAAACTTGGGCTTGCCTTACACTCTTTCCCATGTCTGTCACAGCCACATACATAAGTTCTCAACAAATTGTTGTTATGATGGCTGCCTTCTAGAACAGCCCAATATTGGCCCTATTAATGGAAATATTGGAATACCAGGAACATATATTTTATTAAAAGAACAGAGTTCAACAATCAGTGTATATGGGCTGGAGTGGACTCATCTGGTTGGCTTATTAATTCTCCTTTTAAAGTTGGGTGGACCTCTGCACAGGGTCGACAACAGTGCTGCACACTTGAGTCAATCCGATTATGTGCTTCTGGCTGTCAGTTTTCTTGCACAACATCCTTTCTCAATGCCGTGTTGTGCAATGTATTCGTGAAAAAATATAAATAGCTGGTAGCAGGCAGCGCTTCAACATAAAAGTTTCCCAGTGATACAAAATATAAGAATCTGAGTTTATCAGAGAGCACTGTTTTAGTTATGATTACATCACATTTTCCAAAATACGTGGCAGTTTTTGCCCTCTTTGTCCTGAGTGTTGGTGCGCTGGACACCTTTATTGCTGCAGTCTATGAGCATGCTGTTCTATTACCAAACAGAACAGAAACACCTGTTCCGAAAGAAGAAGCTTTGCTCCTGATGAACAAGAACATAGATGTTTTGGAGAAAGCAGTTAAACTGGCAGCCAGGCAGGTATTGCCCTTTGTATAATGGCTGGGATGTTGTAAAGGAGATTTGAAACTTGGTGAGAGTGTGTGTTCGGAATTTATCAGCAACTTTTTTTGCTCCCACTTATTTTGAGCAGGGTGCACATATCATTGTAACCCCAGAAGATGGAATTTATGGCTGGGTCTTCACAAGAGAGACTATTTACCCCTATCTGGAGGATATCCCACACCCGGAAGTGAACTGGATTCCATGTAGAGACCCCCGGAGGTAATGTCATTGCCCTTTGATGTTTGAACAAAAAATTTTGATATTGTAAAACACCAACAGCAAATTCATTAAGCTTGACTAGTATTCTTGCTGACAAATAATCAATCTACGGCCTCTAATGCTTCATAATGTGTACCATCTGGCATGTCTCCTGTTTGGTAAATGACTTCAGGTGTTGATGCTTGGTTGGTTGTTGTAGTTTTCTTTAATGAGTAGCATGCGTATACACAGTTTTTATAATAAATACGTTCATTTGGGTTTCAACAATGTGAGAAAGTTGTACTGTCTGGGACCTGTGTTCCTAAATATAAGTAAGTTGGTGCACCCAGGAACACCTGCATCCTTGGTAGGAATGGAAAAAGATGAATGAGCTTATGTTTCCCAAGAGCTTTCATATCACTATCATTTGTATACAATGTAATCAGTATGATGAGTGGAAACTGCACAGAATTTGAAGAAGGAAGTGCTATTTCTGAGACCACGTTCCACCACCTTCTAGCTGAGTGATGTGGGGCCGATAACCTAAATGCCTGATGTCTCTGTTTCTTGACCTGTGGAACAGGGATAATAAAATTTCCTTTCCTACTTCCCTTACAGAGTAGACAAGAGCGTCAAGTGAAGTAATGAACATAGAATCTGTACACTATTGTGCTGTCTCCAGTCTTAGCTGTCACTAGTACTTTTTTAACAAAAGCAGAATCTGAACTTTGTTTTCTTGTCCTTTGAGAAGTTTTAGTAATTATTAATAGCTGTAGTTTAAGCATAACTTTCTTAAAGCAAATCTGTATAAAACATAAGATTGACGAAATAGATTATTTCAGGTGTATCTACTTTTTAAAATAGTTTATATATAATGCTTTTAGCAAAATCAATGCGTTAAAGGGTAATTTAATATGCTAATTTTAAATTTATATGCATCTGTTCAGAACTATATCTACTCCACAGAAGGAAGAACTTCTTTAATAGTTTTGTGTGTGTATGTGTGAGGAAGATTGGCCCTGAGCTCACATCTGTGCCAATCTTCCTCTATTTTATATGTGGGATGCCGCCACAGCATGGCTTGATGAGCAACGTGTAGATCTGCACCCAGGATCTGAACCCATGAACTCTGGGCCACCAAAGTGGAGCACACGAACTTAACCACTCACACCACTGGGCCATCCCCTCTTTAGTAATTTTGAGCATTTGAAATTAATTGTAAAGTCAAGTCTGACGTTGCAACATAGGAGCTCTACTATGTGAGTCAGGTCTCGACTAGGATTTTCACCTCTGGAGAAATATTCTCTGAATGTTGCACAGTCTATGTTTATAGTAACCACAAAACTATGACTCAATGTCTACTTGATTACGATGCTTTTCCTAGAGCAGGAAGGACTCATTATTTCCAGTGATTCGGGAGGCTTATACTAAAACACATTCTATTTGCCCAGGCTGATATAATTGACTTTCCTAGGGGGAAGCTGTCCTGAAGCCTGATAATTCATCTCTGATGCATTATTTTAAGTTGACTGTTTAAGGTGACTGATGTAACTTTAACATTATTCAAATGGCAAGCTTTCAGCTCTGTGTTATAAAAAGGAGAAATTCATATTTCCAGAAATCCTGAAAGAAATATTAAAATACCATTAACATAATGGTAATATTCGTAAAAAAACCTGTTTCTTCCCTAGTAATATTTATCCCCTAAAGGGATAAAAGAGGGCCATGTGGTCCTCCTTCTGCATTTAGATGCCATCATTTAGAGTACTGACACATCCCATACTTTCTTGGGCTTTCCTCGTGAGGAGCTAATAAGAAATATTAAAGTACTCTATTTAGTAGTCAAAAAAATAAAAACAAAATAAAATATATGATATTTTTAGTAATCAATATGAATGTTGACAATATTGCCCTGGTTTTCCTGAGGACAAAATTAAAGAAATAGTCTAAAACAGTGGTCATAAATTTGTCCTTTCTATTCAAAGATTAGCTCAACATCCACCGTGGAGGGGCTGAGAGACTATGGAGAGAACCCCAATGGCCTCTAAAAGCAATAAAACCATCAGTTTCCCCGGTGGTGTTCCTGTGGTGGCAGCATGCATAAGGGCCATTATTTGCATATTGAGCACTTGGTTCCAGGAACTGTACTTGCTGCACTGTGCACATTATCTTATTCAATTTACGTAGCAGGTATAACTATTCCCATTGTAAGTACGAGGAAAAAACGAGGTTTAAGTGCTCATAATTGGTAATTAGCATGGGTAGAATTCAAACACAGCCATTGCCATTGAGCCGTGCTAACTGAATGGACTCTGAGTGCCTGGAGGCACCATGCTATGCTTGGAATTTCCAGTGACTGGTGAATCTACTTCCTTGACAGCAAGCTCTAGTTGCTAAAAATGTTTATATTATTTCCTGCTGAAATCTGTCCCTCTATAACTTCCTTTGGTCTTCGTACTGCATATACGTTCACGTCTATGACTCATCTCCTTCAAATTAGAGCCTTTCAAGTATTTGAAGCCAGCTATCATTCCACCTATCTCATCACCTCAGTCCCTTCTTATTGCGAGGATAAATATCCCCAGCGTGGATGGATTTGGTAGTACTTTGAAAAGCAATTTCATAGCCTGCATTTATCTCATGGTTTATCATGGGGGCCCTGCAAGGCACAAAGGAAGCTATTATGCTGCGCTGACAGATGAGGAAGCTGAGCCAGCACAGTGAAGTGCTTTTTAAAAATATTTCTGGCACATAATACTGCATTTGTTCTCTACGGAAGGCGATCTACGTGGGACCAACTGTTTACTGCCTCCCAGTAAGAACGTGGCTTGGATTATAGAAGAGGTCCTCCCCACTAGAAGAGTCTGTTACATTTCGAGCCCTTCATTTGCCTTCCTGGGAGCCCTTTATAAGAGAAAGTGTTGCGTCTCTTCTTTCTCTTCTTCCTCCGCCATCTTTTCTGTGCTTCAGTCTCGCACTGCAATCCGAAGTCTGGCACATTAAAACAGGTTAGCTTTCATAAAGATGAAGACGACATTGCAAGTGATTTTTTTTTTTTTTTTTCCTGTGGTAACATTGGTTTACAACAGTCTATAAATTTCAAGCGTACATCATTATACTGCTATGTCTGCATAGATTACACCACGTTCACCACCCAAAGACTAATTACAACCCATCACCACACACATGTGCCTAATCACCCCTTTCACCCTCCTACCTGCCGCCTTCCCCTCTGGTAACCACAAATCCAGTCTCTGTCTCTGTGTGTTTGTTTGTTGTTGTTGTTATCTTCTACTTATGAGTACGATCAACCAGTATTTGACTTTCTGCTTCTGACTTATTTCGATTAGCATAAATACCCTCAATGTCGATCCATCTTGTCACGAATGGCTGGATTTCATCGTTTCTTATGGCTGAGGAGTATTCCATTGTGTATATATACCTCATCTTCTTTATCCATTCATTCCTTGATGGGCACCTAGGTTGCTTCCAAGTCTTGGCCATTATGAATAATGCTGCAGTGAACACAGGGGTCCATGCATCTTTACACGTGCGAGTTTTCATGTTCTTTGGATATTTTAAAATCATGTCTGTTGATTCATAATCTGGAGATGTTGTATTATAGGTAACAGACAAATAAAGTATCACTTTGGAAGTTCAGAAATTGCTAAAATACAGTAAGTTTAAGGCAATGTCTATTGAATTAGGTTTGGCTACACCCCAGTGCAAGACAGGCTCAGCTGCCTGGCCAAGGACAACTCCATCTACGTCGTGGCGAATATTGGGGACAAGAAGCCATGCAATGCCAGCGACCCTCAGTGTCCCCCCGACGGCCATTACCAGTACAACACTGATGTGGTGTTTGATTCCGAGGGTAGGCTGGTGGCACGCTACCATAAGGTGAGAGTCCCTTGTGCCTGAGCTAACCTTGTCTCACTTCTTTAGTTCGTTTGTGTTATGTGTGCAGATTTGTCTGTTGAACGTTGGTGAGAGAACTGTTATGAATACATTTCTTAATTGTTACATTTTAGTTGGAAAAGGGATTTAATTTACTTAGGCCTCATATAAATGTTCTGAGTTTGAATTAGGCATAAAACAGAACACGGCAGAACATTACAGATGTGATAATAACCTCACAGAGATTTTAATATTCTCTGAGAAAAGAGAAATGCTCTGTTTCGTCCAGAGTTGGTTTTTTGCCCCAATTTGTTAACATTTTCTACTAAATTTTAGTCATTCATTCCATTAGGACTCCTTTGATTTCAATGATAGAAAACCCCAACTGAAATTGCTTTAAAAAATATGGAATTTCCTTGCTTATGTACCTGAAAAAATATAAATCAGAGAAAGGGTAGATCTAGTTTCAGATGCAGTCTGTCCCTCGGAAGCTCAAAAGATGTCATCCCTCCCTCTAGCTCTCTTAGCCCCTTTTATGGCTTTTTCTCAGGCTAACTGTCCTTTTAGAAGTCACATTGCTGCTCAACACAAAGCTCACATTCTTATAGCAACAAAATCCAGAGGAAAGGTGCATTTCTCTTTCCCAGAAACGCTACAAAAGCCTTATCATTCCTGGACTCCAGTTAGGCCACCTGCCTCCCTTGAGTCACTCACCGCAGGATGTAGGGTGGGCTACCACAGGAGTGGGGGGGGGAGTGCGGGAACCCAACCAAGAGGGGAGCACTGTTTCCAGAGCACACATCTGCACACATCAGGCCAAATACAAACCCGAGCAAAACATATGCTGTACGCCTGAGCCCAGGATAAGTGGAGTTTGGCTACTCCATTGTCTATATTAATTTAAAATCTTCTTCACTTCACTTACATAAACCTCGCAGTATCATAGAGAGACATGACAAAGCTTACTTTATTAACATGTGTTAGACTTCATACAGGCAGTGCTGTTGGTATTTAAAGAATACAGTAGAGGGGTGGCCTGGTGGCGTAGTGGTTAAGTGCGTGCTCCGCTGCAGCGGCCCAGGGTTCACAGGTTCGTATCCCGGGCACGCACTGGCGCACGGCTTGTCAAGCCATGCTGTGGCGGCGTCCCATATAAAGTAGAGGAGGATGGGCATGGATGTTAGCCCAGGGCCAGTCTTCCTCAGCAAAAAAGAGGAGGATTGGCTTCGGATGTTAGCTCAGGGCTGATCTTCCTCACACACACACACACACACGCACACACACAAAACTATTAAAGAAGTTCTTTAATAAGCTATCTTCCTCACACAAAAAAAGAATACAGTGGAAAACAATCTGAAATTTGTAAGATTCAAAATTTCAACTTGTGGTTTTAAGACAGAAATAGTCACCTTTTAAATATCATTTGTGGATGTGATCTCATTGGTTGATTCATTGGTTGTGGGAAAATGAAGCTTTTTGATTAATGTGGCAGTAAGAAAACTCATAGACCGTGGTGGACTGGGTATGATTTACTTCAATTTATGTGTAACGGTTTTAAATATGCATGTCAACATGCATGGGAGAAAAGACTTTTTAGGGATTGAGCACTTCTATTTGGCATTTTACTAATTTTCTCCTTCTTTGCTTTTTGTTAACAGTACAATCTTTTTGCACCTGAAATTCAATTTGATTTCCCCAAGGATTTAGAACTCGTGACTTTTGACACTCCCTTTGGGAAGTTTGGCATTTTCACTTGCTTTGACATTTTTTCTCATGATCCGGCTGTGGTGGTGGTGGACGAGTTTCAAGTGGACAGCGTTCTCTACCCCACAGCGTGGTACAACACGCTGCCCCTCCTCTCGGCGGTTCCCTTCCATTCGGCATGGGCCAGAGCCATGAGGGTCAACCTGCTCGCTGCCAACACCCACAACACCAGCATGCACATGACAGGTAATGCCCACCTGTCACGCACCATGGGGCAGAACCGCTTAGGAAGTCTTCATTGATTTTCAAGCCACGTTTTTCTTTAATGCTTCTTTTATTAACTCTAATGCCACAAAATTAATAATAGCATGGGTGTCTATACCAACATTATGTAAGGAACATTATCCCTGTCAAATTGAAACTCATGCCAATGGAACAGTGATCTCCTTACCTACCTTGAAAATGCTTAGGCTTTCATAATTTTATATTTAATTTCTCATAGAAATGATTCTATTAGTTGACAACCTTGCAAAATTTGAAACCAATATTTGTGTTTCTTGATGTTGCCCGTAGGGAGCGGAATCTACGCCCCAGAAGCAGTCAAGGTGTACCACTATGACATGGAAACAGAGAGCGGCCAGCTGATGCTCTCAGAATTGAAGTCCCGGCCTCGGAGCGAGCCCACCTACCCTGCAGCTGTCAACTGGGGTGCTTATGCCAGGGGCGTCAAGCCATTCCCGTCGGAGCAGTCGGATTTTCCAGGGATGATTTACTTTGATGAGTTTACCTTCACTGAGCTTAAGAGAAACACAGGAAATTACACAGTTTGCCAGAAAGACCTGTGTTGTCACTTAACTTACAAGATGTCTGAAAAGCGAACAGATGAGGTGTACGCCCTGGGTGCTTTTGACGGACTGCACACAGTAGAAGGCCAATGTTACTTACAGGTAGAAAGGCTCACATATGTTAGAATGGCTTTCTACTAGTTTTTCTTCTAGGTCATCATTGTCTTTCTTTAAAAATTGTGCTGGGTTCAGTTAATTGGAATGATGTTACATTTATCACTGAATTTCCCCCCCAGAACCCCCTATTTGTTCTGTCTTAGCAAGAACAGAATTAGATTTCTTGGCTGCAAAGTAAAAGCGTAAGGTAGATTGATTGGTTCTCAGCAGACCTGGTTCAAGGTTAAAAAGCTGCAG